TAACCAAAAGTTAATACCAAACTGGTTACCATCATGTAACCCAGTACCTGGGAGACTAATGCAGGAGGATTACAAATTCTAGGTCGGCCTGGTCATCTTGGTGAGACCATGACTCAAAATAAAAATTTTACAAAGGGGCTGAAGAAGTCAGATGCCAGTGGCTCAAGAGGCTGAGAAATGAAGAAACAGGTACAAAAGCCAGCCCAGGCAGACAAATCCAAGACTCTTTAATACAATTAACCAGCAAAAAGCTGAAATTGGAGGTGTGGTTCAAGCATGGAGCTCCAGCAAAGAGAAAAGAAGCAAAGTGAGAGTTCAAGGCCGTGAGTTCAAGCCTTAGTACTGGCACAAAACAGGGGACATGGCAATAGAGCTTAGCAGTAGAGCACTTGTTTAGTATACAAGAAGCATTTAGTTCCACCTCCCAGTACCACATTTTAAAAAACAAAAATTTTAATTCTATTTCCCATTCATTCCTTCACAACTAAGTACAAAAACAACCAGCAAATTATTGTACAATAGGAATAAAGCAGAAACATAAAAGCAAAAAAACATGGTGGAGGGAAGACATGCAAAAATCAGTAAGATGGCAAACAACAACAACAAAAAAATGTTAATGAAATGAAGAAAGAGCTTGCAGAAATCCAAGAATGTATAAAAACAAGTAGGGAATGAACATTAAGTACAGAAGTGAAAATAGAAAGAGGAAAAATAGAAATCATGACTGAATCCGCATAATTTCCAGCTCTAAACTGAAGTTTCAACTGACTGCCTATAAGCTTCTTTCTGTTCCAAATTCCAACAGAGATTTTATGAAGTAAACTGCATGAGCAATCACCAATTCAGGTGCAATGGAGCACATGAAGAACGATTCACAGAGACCACTGTACTTTGAATGCCATAATTCACACTATAACTACTGCTCAGATCTATTGCCCTTTCAAGCAGATTTCAGGGCATCCCATCTTCATAATGAACCCTGATGACTTAAATGATTCCATGACAGAGACAGTTCACGGCACCAGATGATAATCTAAAGGGAAAAGAAAATGTTTCCTACTGAAGATGAAAAAAGGTCAGAGGAAAAAAACTGGATTAAAATGTCCAGGGAAGCAGTTTGTGCACTGTTCTGAATGGGGTTCATTCGATGAACAGTTACATGTACCAATTTACCACAGCAGCTGTTGGTGAAAGAGGAAAGAATAAAAAAATAAAAAAAAGATATGTTAAAATTACTCAAAACTATACAGAAGCAAATTAAAAGAGCCAGTATTATTCCTCATCTTTTTCCTACTTTTATTGAAAAGAGGGGGGAAAAGTCACACTGAAGTAGGTGGAAGGGTTGAAGCATCATATATTCCTCACACCAACACCACAAAGTCTAACTGGCCCAGAAGGACCTTTTTAGATGTGTGTCTAATTACAATCCCAAAGGGAAGCCTATCTTGCATTGAAGACCTGAGAAGCCAAGAAGCCAGTCCTGTCTCAGGTTTGCAGCTCTTTTTTCTAGAATGACTGAAGCAGAAACAAATCTAACACCACTGAGTTTGATATAATCCACACCACACTTGAAGAGTAAGTAGAGAAAATACGTGGGAGGGATCTCGACTTGAAACCTGAGTAAAGGAGGTGGTAATATAATCTGATTGAGTTTTGGGGTCTCGGGTCGTTTTCTCAGGTCTCCAAGGCAAATAAGGGCAAAGACTATTTTCTTTAAAACATCAGCATCAAGTCGATGTTTGCACCTGTAAATCCTAGCTACTCACAAGGCTGAGATCCCAGGACCCAGGTTCAAAGCCTGTTAGGATCCAGTGAGACCTTTTATTCCTACTCAGCCACCAAAACATGGGAAGTGAAGTTGTGGCTCTAGTGGGAGAGCGTCAGCCTTGAATGAAGAAGCTCAGAGACAGAGCCTAGGGCCGGCGTTCAAACCCCAGTACCTGCACACACACACACACACACACACACGACCGGAGTTCAAACCCCAGTACCTGCACACACACACACACACGAAAAAAAAGTTCAGCATCTGCTTTTCCGTATCAGCTGTGCCCTCAGGAACTGCTACCCTGTCCCCCTGGCTAGCTCCGGCTTCCGAGGCCGCCCCGTTCTCCCACATATTTTCACACGGCTCCACTTGGCGCCCCCACCCCACTGCTTCGGCTCCCGCCCCAGGTCCCGCCCCAGGGCTTACCACTCGGACCCCACCCGCCGCGGGACCTCCCCCTCCAACCCGACCTCGGCATCCGACGTGGCTTCCCCTCCGAACTCGTCCCAGGCCCCCTTCGACCCCACGCCCCGTCCCCACGCCGCTCCCTGCACCGCTCCGCCGACCCTCCCAGCCTTCCTTCCATTCCCGGGGGGGGGGTCCCCACACCACACCCCACGCCCCCCTCCAGGGCAAAGCCCCAAGCTCTGCTCCCCACCCCCTCTCAGAACCTGCTTCCTGCACTTCGTTCACACCCGCTATACGCATGAACTGCACCCGGCGCTAATTCTCAAGTTTTACCCTACGGCCTTCTCACCTGGCCGCGGTTCCTTCAGAATCCGCTGCTCTCGCTTGGCCATCCGTTCAGATGGCGCACCCAACCCTGGTAACGGCCGGGTCCCACCTCCCAGGTCGCTTCACATTGGTTAACTCTGAGCCAAGACGACGCTTCCGGAGAGCGATAGGATTACAGTGTTGTCTGTCAAGTCGGGAGGCGTGGACCCAGCCGCGCTCCCACTTCTTAATTGGGCGATACAGCTATCACTAAAGAGTTAGAAGCGGGACTTAGAGCTCTCACAGAGCTGTCATAGGTGGGCGCATGAGAGTGAAGAGCGCGGAAAGAACGTGCTGAGAGGAGTTTGGTTGAGCGCTGAGGAGTGACGTGTCCGTCTGCGGACCGGAAGGAGACGCGTGGGGAGGCGTGGCCAGTTTGCCCTAGACACGTGACCAGAAGCGGAAATTACTCGGAGAAACTGACCAACGTCCAAATCCGTAACTGCGGGTACTGGAGACTGCTGGTGGGCCAGTTTTTAAGGTACACGGACCTGATAGAAGCTTAAAGGGGAGGAGGAAAGGGTGCCCTGCCTGTTCTCAGTGAGAACCCATACACTTCCTAGTCCCAGTTAGCTCAGGATTTGCCTAATTTGCTGAAGAAACGCCTTAAAATAAAACAAAAACGTTTGCTCCGATAATTGCTATAAAGCGATCCCTGACAAAGTTCACGAGGCATTTGCCTGAAGTAATCCGTGGCTCTGAGGAAGCGTGCCTAGGCCTCAAAGGGTTGTTAGGGGTGCGCTGGAAGAACCGGCACTGCACGGCTGGACACCCAGCAGTGGACCAAGAGGCTGCCCCGCCCTGCTCTGCCTGAGCTGGGCGGCCGGTAGCTCACGCCTGACATCCTAGCTACTCACTAGGTTGAGAGCTGACAAAGGTTCAAAGCCAGCCCGGGCAGGAAAGTCTGAGACTCTTTTCTGGCTCATGCCTGTAATCCCCAGCTACTTGGAAGGCTGAGGCAAGAAAACAAGTCGGAGACTAGCTTGACAACTTACTTAAACTTTGTCACAAAACATAAAAGGGCTGGGTTGTATCTCAATAGCAGAGCACTTGAATAGCAAGCACGTGAGACCCAGTAAGGGGGGGGGGGGGGGGCGGGAGGGTGTTACTATGTGACTAATTAGATAACTAGCATCCTTTCTAAAACTTGGAAAAGTGAGTTCAAATAAAGCATTTGCTCTTCAGTTCCAAGCTGAAGAAATACTGAGGTCTTTTTCAACTCATCCCCGTAACTACCAGGAAATAGTTCTCTACGGTACCGGTACCATCAAAAGACTAGAGGCACTGGGATATGGTGGCACTCTTATAATGGAGGCTAACCAGGGCTACCTAGCAAGACCCTGTCTCAACCAAAAAAAAAAAAAAAAAGCAAAAACCCTCAAAAGACTAATTGTCATGCAGCATTTAGAAATGCTGGTAGTAAAACATTTTTTACGATTTTTCTTTTAGTGGTACTAGAGTTTGAACTCTGCTCCATACTCCCGCTGCTTTGCTGTTCAGCTGATGCTCTACCACTGGGGTGTGCTATTTTGCTGGCTATTTTGGAGGGAATTTCCCAGACTTCTCAGCTTATGTGGCCTTAAACCTTGATCACCTGACTTCAGCCTCCTGAGTAGCCAGGATGATAGATAGATATGAACCACTACCACCCGACTCAGTCTTTTACAATTTTTTGTAGTTTTAAACAGGGCTTATTTTCAAGGTATCCATGTGTGTCTGTGTGTCAGTAGTGAGACTTGAACTCAGAAGCTTACAAGGCTGGTGCTCTACCATTTGAGCCACATCTCCACCTCTGGCTTTTTTGCTGTTTAGTTGGAGATAGTCTCTTTTATTTGAGTGCCCAATGTCTTCAAACCTCAATCCTCAGCTGTCACCTAGCAATACAAGTGTGAGCCACCCTCCCACCCCCAGCTCCAAGATGCCCACTATTAAAAATCTCCCCTAGCTGGGCATGGTGATTCACATGTGTAATCTCAGCACACAGGAGGTGGAGACTTGGAGAGTATAAATTCAAGGGCAGTCTAGGCAACATAGGTAATTCCAGGGAAGCCTGGGCTATGAGATACTGGCTTAAAAACTAAATATAATTCCTCCTATCATCCACATAAACACTTCAAATTTAGATCAAAGTTACTAGCAATAATTTTGAATTCCTATTTTGTTTTAGGAATAGGAAATAGAACAGTAAACCTGCTAAAATTGTTTATTGTTTTGGGAAGGAAGGAAGAAGTGGTGAGAGTGATTGGAATACTTCTAAACATGTAGAAGTTGAACAATGAAATCCTCTCATGTATAATCTAAGCTTAAAAAATAAAGGTTTCTGTAAAACTGGATGCCTAATCTCTCTTCCTTAGACTTACCAATTATATGCTCAGTACACTGAAACTTAGGATCCTTCTCCCTCCCTAAATACAAAGTGCAGGTGTACATACACACTGAAAGAATTCAGCAACCCCAAGTCTGTCATAAGACATATATGATTATAATCATGTAACAAAAACATTCTCACAGAACTCTTCCCAGAGTGCATCTCTCAAAATTATAAGCCAAGACAAAGTCTTGTGCTCTATGAATACATAAATCTTGAAGTCATGATTTGCAAATTCAACCATTACACACTTGTGGGAAACCAGCTCACATTTAATTGTGACATTTAAAAATTGTACAAGTTTTTGACATCTGCTCTCCCACCCCATATTTAGTCTTCTAAAATGACAGGAAAACATCACCAGTCACAGGCTTAATGGGTTTAATAAGTTTACCTCTTCAGTTCCTATTTGCAGCACCCATAATCCTTTGAAATACCAGTCGACCTGGCAGTGGCCAACAGTAAATTTCCATTCTCCAGAGGAAAAGTTCAGTTTCTCTGAGCATTCTGTGTTGCAGTGGCACTTGTCCAGAATTGGTACCTCCCCATAGTTGGGGAACGTTAAATGTACCAGTGAATAAAAGCTTTTCCCCTTCAAGGGGAAGAAAGAAAGGTATTCCTCAAAACAACTAATCTGGCTATGAGGTCTTTCCTTCTGTCCCATCTCTTCAGGCTCTTTTATCTTTTTTTTTTTTTTTTTTGCAGTAGAGCAAGAGAGACCAAAACCTAACCTGAGTTACAAGAAACAAGACAGTGATGGCTATAAAGGAAGTATCTAGGAGCAACTGAGATGCTCCTATACCTCCCCCACATCCAATTTATGTGCTTCACAGAAAACAACAAAAATAACAAATCCACAAAATACAACAGCTAGAATTACAAAATCCATTCATCCAAGGGTGCTGGAAGGCAGGAAGGAGAGGTGGGAGGGTAAATGGCACAGACAGGAAAATGAAGTAGTCAAACCATCCAGGCACGGGGGCTGCAAATGCTAGAAAAGAGCTGTGGTCCTTTCAGACTCACGATGGTGGTAAAAATCCACATACTGGTGTCAAGATTCTGCCTTATGTGCACCAGAGACAAAAATTCAAACTCCACAAACAGAAGAGACTATGCAGAGGGCCCTTGGCAGAGTGGGTCCTGCCTTCCCTGGCAGGGGGAGGAGAACAGAGAAAAGAGCTGCCACAGCTTCCATCCAATCCCACCCATCCCTTCTGAACAGCAGGTGACTCAGTGGCCTGCAGCAGCCTTCAGTTTGGCGGGAGATGGATGCGGTGAAGGAAATTTCTCTGCAGAGGTTGAGCTGCTCAGGGCAGATTGCAGGTAGACTGTCTTGTGGAAGAGTCTGTTGCTTAAGAAGACCACCAAGGAGAAGAGGCGCAACTGGAAAAGGCTAAGGGCAAGAAAACCAACTTGTTAGCTCCATAGCTGATCACAATTAGTGTTTCAATTATGTCATGGCTCATTTGCCTACATTAACTCTGTAACTACACTGGAAAAAAAGCAACTGAAATTTGATAAGGAAACACCGATAGCAGACATGGGAAATGGACTGAACAGGCAACTAAAGAGTACACCAAAGGGTTGAGAACGTGGCTTTGTGGTAGAGTACTTGCCTAGCATGTATGAAGCCCTGGTTTCATTCCTCAATACTACATAAAAAGAAAAAGCCTGAAATGGTGCTGTGGCTCAATTGGGAGAGTGCTAGCCTTGAGCAAAAAGAAGCTCAGGGGGACTGGGAAGGCAGCTCAGTGGTACAGTGCTTGACTTGCATGCATGAGGCATGGGTTCGATTCCTCAGCACCACATAAGCAGAAAAAGCTGGAAGTGGTACTGTGGCTCAAGAGCTGAAGAGCTGAGGGACAGCACCCAGGCCCAGAGTTCAGGCCCCACAATCAACAAAAAAAAAAAAGTCTCACAGAATTTTCTGCCCAGGTTGGCTTTCAACCGCAATCCTCAGATCTCAGCCTCCTGAGTAGCTAGGATTACAGGCATGAGCCACCAGCATCCACCTCAATAATATTTTTTAAGAATATGGGGCTGGGGCTGGGGCTGGGGCTGGGCGCGGTTCAAAGCCAGCCTGGGCAGGAAAGTCTGTGAAACTCTAATCTCCAATAAACCACCAGAAAACCAGAAGTGGCGCTGTAGCTCAAATGGTAGAGCACTAGTCTTGACCTGAAGAGCTGAGGGACAGAGTTCAGGCCCAGAGTTCAAGCTCATGACCAACCGACCAAAAAAAAAAAATATATATATATATATGGGGCTGAGAAGGTAGCTCAGTAGTAGAGCGTTTGCTTTGCATGCATGAGTCCCTGGGTTCAATTCCTCAGCACCACATAAGCAAAAAGAAAAAAATTGTGAAGTGGCTCTGTGGCTCAAGTGGTAGAGCACTAGCCTTGAGCTGGAGAGCTGAGGGACAGCACCCAGGCCCAGAGTTCAGGCCCCACAACCGGACCCAAAGAAAAAAAAAAAGAATATATATAATAAGCCAGGTGCTGGTAGATCACGCCTGTAATCCTAGCTACTCAGGAGGCTGAGATCTGAGGATCACAATTCAAAGGCAGCCTGGCAAGAAAGTCCATGAGACTCTTGCCTCCAATTAATCATCAGAAAACCAGAAGTGGCCTGTGGCTCAAAGCTGTAGAGCACTAGCCTTGATCTGAAGAGCTCAGGGACAGTGCCCAGGCCCAGAGTTCAAGCCCCACAACTGACCAAAAAAAAAAAAAAAGCATAATAGGCCAAGCTGGTGATGCACATTTGCACATCTGTAATCCCAGCATTGAGGTCAAAGCTCCGCAATGCACATCTGTAACCCCAGCATTGAGGTCAAGGCTCCCCAATAAGGAGAAATACATATAATTGTACATTTATGCAAAAAGTTTGAGATATATCACGTCTGAGATATATCTCAGACGTGTTTCTATTTGTATTTTTTTATGCAATGTAAGAAGAGATCGCTTTAAAAACAAAAACCACACACACACACAGAAGTCTTACTGACGTAATTGCAGTGTTACTGATACTTACTATGCTTTTCCAGGGGTCTTTGCTTCATTGGCGCTGATAATGAATAAAGGAAAGAGGATAGAGAAGAGGCAGCCACTGTTAAAAAAAACAAAAAGAAAAACAGTCACTTTCCTATCAGCTATAATTTTGGAGAAGATATTAGAAGCCCAAAGGTCTTTTATCTATAGTGCAACCACCCTGATTTGATGAAATATTAAAATATACAACTTTTTTTTTCTTAATCAGCACTGGCATTTGAACTCAGGGCCTTCTGCTTGCTAGACAGATATTGTATTACTTGAACAATTTATTTGGTTCACAAACACAGCTTTTGAAAAGGACAGACTTTCCTAAGCACTGAATACATTTAACATTGCTCCAAGAGACAACATAGAAGAATAATGAATTTTGAAGGTCAGACTGACTAGATTTTAATGCTGACCAATGTCAATGACCATTAAAAAGAAAAGCCTTTACATATCATATCTGCTAACAGACAAGCAAATAAAAGATGCTTGCTGTGACTTTTGTCAGTTGTGGGGCTTGAACTCAGCCTGGGCACTGTCCCTCAGCTCTTCAGCTCAAGGCTAGTGAACTCTGAGCCTGAGCACTCTCCTTCAACTCTTCAGCTCAAGGTTAGCACCCTACCACTTGATCCACAGCACCACTTCCAGCTTTTTCTGTTTATGTGGTGCTGAGGAATCAAACCCAGGCCTCATGCATGCAAGGCAAGCACTCTATCACTGAGCCACCTTCCCAGCCCTCTGTTCTGTGACATTTTAACTTTACTAGATCCTTTCAAATCTCTCTAGCCAGGTTACCTAATAATGTATGAGGACTGCATTGCTGTGAGGAAAGCCAAGGGCAAACCAAATCCAAAGTAGTAAGGCCAGTTCCGTTCGATGTTTGACAATCGCTGGTGCATTTCAATTCCTAAAACAAGAAAGTTAGTACAATTAGGCTACAAATTTTATTCTAGTCAATCACAAGAGATAAATTATCTGAGACCTAGGTACATGTCTGCCATTGAGGACTACAGCTTAAATAAGAATTATGCAAATCTGATATAAAGCTCTCAATTTCAAGGTTGAAATTATGAGTCTTAGCACCAATACCCTTGTGAGGACTAGTCTAGAACAAGCAAAAAGAATGTCCTCTAGTGGAAATCAGTTCATTTCTTTTACTCACTGCCACATGAATATAATAGTGTCAAAACTTCAAACTGGTGCCGGGCGCTGGTGGCTCAAGCCTGTAATCCTAGCTACTCAGGAGGCTGAGATCTGAGGATCGAGGCTCAAAGCCAGCCCGGGCAAGAGAGACTGAGAGACTCCTATCTCCAATAAACCACCAGAAAACCGGAAGTGGCACTGTAGCTCAAGTGGTAGAGCGCTCGCCTTGAGCTGAAGAGCTGAGGGACAGCGCCCAGGCCCAGAGTTCAAGCCCCACGACCGACAAAAAAAAAATAAAAATAAAAATAAAAAAATAAAACTTCAAACTGGTGTAGAACGGGATTACAATTTAACATGTCCATTAGGCGTGGCTTCTTGATCAGTCACTACATCCATCATTTTCCCTCACATCCTCTCTGCTCCTTACCAAAGTCTAAATATATTGTCATCTATTTAATTTCAAACAATTTATACTTATTTACTATATTGCTGATAAAGCTACCTTATGATTCAGACACATTACATTAACCAAAAACATAATTCTACATAGCCATTTCTCCAGCCTTATAGTTAAGGGTTAAATTCACTAAACCAAATATAAGTTCCCCTTTGCCAACAAAGCTACTTCTTTTCAAAGATGATTTGCCAAGCATCTGAAATGCTACTTAGCAGCATTTCCTAACTGCTTCAACAGTCTGAGTTCTTTAAATGGACTTACCTTTATTGAACCAACGATATTCAAAGCAGTACAGTGAGTAGAGAAGGGACATATGCAGCAGACTAACCAGCTGACCAACAAGATGAATGGGAAAGAGACTCACAAACATCCCCTGAAGAACAAATATGGCAAATCTTAATTCCAAAGCTCCAGAGACCTAACACACTAATTTGCCCAGACCTCCAATCATTACTGCCTATACAGACAGCTTCTGAGCTGCTTCGTGCATTTCTAAATTGGAGGAATGGAGAATACTCAGTATGATGGGAAAAATCAGATTGATTCATGCTGCTTATAATTTTACAGTTACTTAAGTTCCTTGGTTTTTCTGTAAAAACAATTATATATATATATATACACACACACATATATACATATATATACACACGTGTGTGTGTGTGTGTATGTATCTCATAACCTTTCACAAGGAATAAATGTATAAATGTAAATGCCTGTGTTTGTAAAGTTGAGCTGAGCTTTTTTTTTTAATTTCCCCCACAAGTCTACAGAGCCAGCCTCACCTGAATAAGGAAGAGAGCCTGAAGCAAAAGGTTGAAAAGCATATCAGCAATGATTTTGCTGACACTAGGGAATGGATGAGGCTTCCTCCCTGATACCTCAAATGCCAGGTCAGCTATATCCTGAAACAGAAAGTAGGGCGCCAAATATGAATTAAATAGCCTCAATATCCATTCCCAAATCTAAGGCCACTGCTCTACTACTAAAACTGCCAATTAAGAAAATCCCCCCTCGGGCTGGGAAGGTGGCTCAGTGGTAGAGCGCTTGCCTTGCATGCATGAGGCCCTGGGTTCGATTCCTTAGCACCACATAAGCAGGGGGGGAAAAAAGCCAGAAGTGGCGCTGTGGCTCAAGTGGTAAAGCACTATCCTTGAGGTGAAAAGCTGAGGGACAGCGCCCAGGCCCAGAGTTCAGGCCCCACCACCGGACCCAAAAAAGAAAAAGAAAATCCCCCATACATCTAGCAATAAAATGCTTCAGTGATTGCGGATAATTCCATTATATTAAAGCACAAAGATGGCACACTGGCTGTTTTGGCCAAGAAGTTAAGCCTGAGATATATAATAGGGCCCTATATGGCCACTACGTTCACACATTGAAACTTGTCACCTGCCAACCAACCATGCTGTAGGACCCAGGCTCCATTCTGCCCTTGGACCTACTTGAAACCAAATGGCATTCACAACTTTGCTAAGCACAAACAGGGGGAGCACCCAAAGAGCACTGAAGATTGAGGTGAGGAAGAACTCCAGCCATGACCAAACATCTCCATGTAGTGATGGATCACCTAGGGAAAGGGAACAAGAATTCCTAGTTTAGGCAAATGGAAAACAAGAAGAATAAATACAGAACTACTTGTGACGATACCTTTTTCCCCTACATAACTGTTTCTTGCCAGTGTGTATTACACCTAGTTTCCAACAAGACTTTGTTCATAGACACACAATTCCAGAGTAACTACAAATATGTGCTGTTTATCTGGAAACCTGCTTACAAGGTGGCTGAGATGCCCCAGTGATTAGCACTGCACAATTAGCAGAAAACCACTTGGGTTTAAATCCCAGCTCTGCCATTTGCTAATGGTCTAACCGTAGTAACCAATTTCCATTTCCTCATGTATAACATGAATAGAAGAACACCTATCTCAAAGGGCTATTGAGAAGTCGGAAAATTCCTGGTACACAGGAAATGTTCAATAAACTGATGAGAACTAGAAAATCTTCAATCTCAATCCCCAGAGGTTGGCAAGGAGCTAATATGCACTTACCAATAATTCGGGCTGTTACTGACTGAAGCACAGGGATAAAGACTCGATAAAACAAGAGAAGACTGAACTAAAGGGGGAAAAGGCAATAAGATGAATGTCAAAACCCTTCTTTAAAACAATTTCAAGTTGCAGTTTTATGATTTTATAGATGGGGTGGTTCTTAAAAAATAACCACTTTTTTTTTTAACTCAAGGCCTCACACTTGCTAGGCATATGATGCACCACTGTAATCATGTTCCCAGTCCCCAGATCTACTTATTTTCCCAGTAGTCCAGCCAAGTGGTGCAAAGGTAATGCTATCAAACAGTGAAATCTGCAGAGCTTGGAAGAACATTTCAAGTATTATTCAAGTAAAAAATCATCATATACTAAATGTATAACAACATTGACCAATTAAATCCTAAATCTGAAAACATCTGTAATATGTTTAAACTAAAACAAATTGAATGACACTGATCCCAAGTCAAAGGAAATACTTTCCTATTCTTCAAAAGACCCAAATTTTATTTAAAAAACAGTGCTATTCTAGTTAATTGTTGATAACTTCTTTTCTGAAGAAGTTTCCAGAATAACCAATTCTAGTCAATCACTATGATTAGAAGCAAATACAACCTTTGCTCTTACCAACCATATCTGTGCTCTCTTTTGATCCCTATAGATCTTATAATCAAAATGTCTAGAAAGTACAAAGAGAAATTGCTATCTAGATTAACACCTAGACACCATAACTGAGTGACCGATAGGTCATTTTAAAAAATTGGATAGTATATATTCAGGAATATCCCTAAGTTCTTTCTTGAATGAGAATAAAATCACTAGAGGTACACAGAGCCTGAGTTATAATCTTAAGTGTACATAAGCAACTAAAAGCTGTCTTCATAGCAACACTCTGAAGACACTTAGCAAGGCAACTGGAATTTGACGGGAAAGAACTCACCCAGAACACTCCGCCATTCCAAGCACAGCACTGGAAAATTCTACTAACGATGCGTGGCTCACTGGAAAAGACCATACATATTTAGTGTATCAGAAATATGGAGTATTTCCTAATTGTCACCCAGTAGCTCTCCATTTTAAACCTTTTTATTAATGCCATATTATTTGAGTACCTAATGTTCTCCCAATGTTCTAATTCAATGAAAAGGCTACAAAACACTTGATTCAGCTTTTATTTTCCAACTATTTTCTGAAATTAAAAGTAAAAAGCTAGAGTTGAAATTAACACACCACATAAACTTTCTTACAAACACTCATCATTTTTTCTGGTTCTCTGCTTGCATTCTGATTTTTTTTAAACATATTAACATGATGAGCAAGGGTCCTAGTTTTCAGTAATGTGACTGGGGAATCACCTATAACATTTTTGTAAGAGAAAACAAATAACAAATCATGTAAGGAATTTACACTAAGGACCAGTTAAGGACCAGTTACCTCCTATGCCCCTCCTGGGAAACTGGCTGCCTTGGGAACTCCTTACCTCTCTTGTTTCCGCTCTATACTCTGGGTTCTCCTCTGGGCCAGGACACTACTTGCCCTTCTTCGCCGTTGTTCTTCTCTCTTTTGTTGGATTCGAGCATCTAGCTTTGAGATGGTACAAATACCCCAGATGGAGTCTTTGATTCCCTATAAACAAGGATTTTTTTTGGTTAATTTTTTCTTCCTGGTCAAGGATATTTTTGAAGAACAGAGATTATGAGTCTGAAACTTTCCGAAGTTATACACAAGAATGTGAAGTCACAATGGAAACCATGGTATTGTTCTCTAGAGCTTAAAGAGCCTTTTTATTTTTTCCCCTAATTCTGTGATCAAAATCAGGATTTCATGCATTCTAGACAAGTGTTCTACCACACAGCTATACCCTAAGCCTTTGATTTTTATTATATATTCATTCATTCATGTCATATACAGGTCCTAGGGTTTGAACTCTGGGCCTGGGTACCATCCCTGAGCTTTTTTCTGGCACTCTACAACTTGAGCCACAGCTCCACTTCCTGTTTTTTGTTTTGCCAGTCCTGGGGCTTGAACTCAGGACTTGGGTATTGTACCTGAGCTTCTTTCACTAAAGGTTAGCACTCTACCACTTGAGCCATAGCACCACTTCTAGCTTTTCCTGTTTATGTGGTACTGAGGAATTGAACCCAGGGCTTCATGCATGCTAGGCAAGCACTCTACCACTAAGCCACATTCCCAGCCCTCAACTTCCTGCTTTTTGGTGGGTAACTGGAGATTAACCACTAAAAGTCTCATGGGCTTCCCTGCACAGCTGTCTTCCAATCATGAGCCAGTATTGAGTAGCTAGTATTACAGACATAAGTCACTGGTACCCAACTAATTTTCTGCTTAATTTTAAAATTATTTCTACCAAAAAAAAAAAAAAAACAATTCCTAACTTGCAGACAAGTTGCAAGTTTAATGGGGAAATTTCAAATATCTTTCCCCAGTTTATTATCTTGTCACACTAAGTTTTTTCTAAATTGTTTGAACTGGCTTGTTTTCTGTTTTTCAGTTTGTATGTCCAAAGAACAATTGTTATTTTTTATTTTTTGGGCCATGAGGTCATGAGGCTTGAACTCTGGGTCTGGGCGCTGTCCCTCAGCTCTTCAGCTCAAGGCAAGCCCTCTACCGCTTGTGGTTTATTGGAGCTAAGAGTCTCACAGACTTTCCTGCCCGGGCTGGCTTTGAACTGCAATCCTCTAATCTCAACCTCCTGAGTAGCTAGAATTACAGGCGTGAGCCACTGGTGCCCAGCTCAAACAACAATTTTTTACATAACCATAGGATAAACTATCAGTTCAAGAAACTTAATATTAAAATACTTTTAAGTTCTCATTTCAATTTCTCCACTCATCTCAGTCACGCATACTGTGGCATTTTACCTAGAGTCTAGTCCACAGCAGATGTAGTGAGCATGCTAGACAGTATTCACAGACGTGAGTATGCACTCCAGGTATCACATCAAGAACACACAGTAAGCAGGGTATAAATTCTAGCACTGGAGAAACGGAGGCAGGAGAATCCTAACTTTGAGGATAGCCTGAGCTACATAATAGGACTCAAAACAAACAAACAAAAAAAAAAAACAAGTTGGGCACGGTGGCTCATGCCTGTAATCCTAGCTACTCAAAAACACAGATCTGAGGATCATGGTTCAAAGCCAGCCCATGCAAGAAAGTCTATGAGACCTGTATTGCCAATTCATCACAGAAAAGCCAGAAGTAGTACTATATAGCTCAAGTGGTAGAGTGCCAGCCTTGAGCAACAGAAGCTCAGGGACAGTGTCCAGGCCCAGAGTATAAGCCCCAGGCGGGCAGGCACACACACGCAAACACACACGCAAACACACACACGCAAACACACACACGCAAACACACACACACACACACGCAAACACACACACACACACACACACACACACACACACACACACACACGGAAAAAGAAAAAGAACAGCTGGGCACCGGTGGCTCATGCCTGTAGTCCTTGTTACTCAGGAGGCTGAGACCTGAGGATTGCAGTTTAAAGGCAGCCCAGTCAGGAAAATCTGCTAAGACAATTATCTCCATATAACCACCAGAAAACCAGAAGTAGAGCTGTGGCTCCAAGTGGTAGAGCACTAGCCTTGAGCAGAAAAGCTCAGGGACAGTGCCCAGGACAAAACACACACACACACACACACACACACACACACACACACACACACACACACACACACACACACACACACACACACACCAAAACAACAACAACAAAAACAAAAACAGTGGCACAGTATCTGTTGCACTTGTAATGATGACTACCAATGACTGCCCAGTTTCTTTTGCCAATTTATTTTACTATGGCAATTAATAAGCAATGTGAGAAAATTTCCAATTAAAATTTCCAGCACTTGGGGGCTGGGAAGGTGGCTTAGTGGTAGAGCGCTTGCCTTGCATGCATGAGGCCCTGGGTTACATTCCCCAGCACCACATAAGCAAAAAGAAAAAAGCCGGAAGTGGTGCTGTGGCTCAAGTAGTAGAATGCTAGCCTTGAGCTGAAGAGCTGAGGGACAGCGCCCAGGCCCAGAGTTCAGGCCCCACGACCGGACCCAAAAAAAAAAAAAAAAAATTCTAGCACTTAAACCAAGAAATAATAAGTTTAAGAATGGCTCAGGCCAGCTGGGAATGTGGCTTAGTGGTACAGTACATTCATGAAGCCCTGGGTTCAATTCCTCAGTACCACATAAACAGAAAAGGCTGGGAGTGGTGCTGTGACTCAAGTGGTAGAGTGCTAGCCTTGAGCAAAAGAAGCAGGAAGACTATGCCTAGGCCCTGAGTTCAAGCCCCAGGACTTGCTAAATAAATAAATTGGATTAAAGCTAGACCAAGGTAGGAGAAAGGCACACAAAAAAGTAATTACTAAGCTGGGCACAATGGTGCACACTTGCCTTGCATGCATGAGGCCCTGGGTTCGATTCCTCAGCACCACATAAGCAAAAAGAAAAAAGCCGGAAGTGGCGCTGTGGCTCAAGTGGTAGAGTGCTAGCCTTGAGCTGAGGGATAGCGCCCAGGCCCAGAGTTTAGGCCCCACGACCTGACCCAAAAAAAAGAATGGTTGAGTCTATAAAGATGATAGTGGCAACTGCCAACTATATTTGAAGAACTCTAGGTTACTAACAGAGCTGTAAACACAAAAATTACTTGACACACAGTTCAAGGAACTGCATTTACTTATCTATCTGATCAGTCACCCACTCATCTACCCAACCAACCTCATATTGACTCATGTTCAGTGAACTAAACATTAGTCCCATGGAAGCACTCAATAAACTTACAACTGGACAAAAAAATATACAAGACCCAAAAAATTGCATTACAGTTTAATAAATGCCACAACACATTTACATCCAAAGCAGAATGGTAGCCTTGAGTAGTCAGCTTCATGAAAGGCAAAATATGGCAAAGAAAGGAAGGGCCAAACTAGATTTAAGGATGGCTTTCTCACTGCCTGCTATTAGTCAAAATAAATTTTAGAAGTAATAGCCAAGAAGGCTGGGCAAGGTGCCCGACATTTACAGATTCAGCTACTCAGAAGGCAGCAATCAAAGAAAGTTGCCATTCAAAGACAATCCAAGCAAAAAAGTTAAGACTCCTTCTCAATCAACAAGTCAGGACTAGTGGTACATACCTGATATCCCAGTGCTTGACAGCCCACCTACACAGGAGGACAGAGGTGGAAGGATCACCACCCAAGGTCAGCCTTAGGCAAAAAGCAAAACCTTACCCAGAAAAATAACTGAAAGTAAAAAGGGCTGGAGGTTTGATTCAAGTGATTGAACCCAGGGCCATGAGTTCAAACTCCAGTACCATCAACAAAGAAAAAGAAGGAAAAGCATTAGTAGGTATGATACCGACAAGTGGCCACATTAATATACAGCCTTCTAAGAAGGGCATAAGTTGTCAGTGTGCAACTGACCTGTTTTGTCGTAGTAACTTTGGTCTTAATTTAATTTTAACTTTATCTTTGGTTTGGCTTAATTTGTGATAAGGTCTCACTACACAGGGGAGGCTAGACTCATTCTCACTACTTATGATTCTCCTGTCTCCAGCCTCTGTACTGGGATTACAGGAATGTACCATACCTACCTCAAAATATAAAGGTAAATTTAAAAAATAGGTAAATAAGGCTCTGGAGCCAAGTTGACCAGGATCCCAATACTAGAGGTATACTATAGACAGATCTCCCAAGCTCCTGTAAGATACAGGGTAATTCCCATATCCTGAGTACTGTGGACTAAAATGTAAAAAAACCAATAAATATGATAAAAATTCCAAAGATGGAAGTGGAGCTATGGCTCAAGTAGTAGAGCGCTCACCTTGCACTTAAGAGAACAGGGACGGCGCCCAAGCCCAGAGTTCAAGCCCCACGACCAACCAAAACAGAAAAAGAAAATCCAAAGACTTTGAAGGACTTCCTAGTTAGTTCCTTCATTTGAAAGGTCAAGAAGGCTTGAACTCAGGGACTCAGCTTATACTCAGCTTTTTTATTCAAAGTTGGCCTTTTGGTTTTTTTGCTGGTTTACTGGAGATAAGAGTCCCATGGACGTTTCTACATGGGCTGGCTTTCAACTTCAATCCTCAGATCTCAGCTTCCTGATATCTAGGGTTACAGGAGTGAGCCATCAGAACCCAGTTAAGAAATAATTTTCCAGAAACAAATTATACTCACCCTGCCAAGGTCCTGGAGAAAGGTTTTGACACTGTCAGCCATCTCCTCACCACCCAGACTATCAGCTACACAGAAGAGAGAGAAGTACTTCAAAATCTCTCATCATGAAGGACCTGGAAACAGATGGGAGTATAATAGAAGAAAAAATTATTTTAATGGTAAGTCACTTCAGACACATTTTTTTTTTTGGTCAGTCCTGAGGCCTGAACTCTGGGCCTAGGCACTGTCCCTCAGCTCTTTAGCTCAAGGTTAGCACTCTACCACTTGAGCCACAGCGCCACTTCCAGCTTTTTTCTGCTTATGTGGTATTGAGGAATTGAACCCAGGGCCTCATGCATGCAAGGCAAGCACTCTACCACTGAACCATCTTCCCAGCCCATTTTGCTTGTTTTCTGTTGTTTCCCTAGTATGGGGTTTGAACTCAGAGCCTGGAACTCTCACTCAACTTTCTTATTCATAGCGCATATTTGAGCCAAACCTTCAGCCTAGCATTTTATTGGTTAACTGAAAATGAAGTCTTACACACATTGCTACCCAGGATGGCTTCAAACCAGTCCTCTAGGTCTCAGCCTCCTATGTAGCTACAATTATACAATACTGGGGACTGCCTATTTGTTTTGAGACTGTCTCAATATGTTGCCCAGCCTGGTGCCCAAAACTCCTAGGCTCATCTGATCCTTCTGCCTCAATCTCCTGGAAAAACTGGGGAAGGTAGGCCTATAGGCACATTTATTTTTTCACTTTTGTTTTTTACAACCATACACCAATCTTTCACTAAATGTGCTCTTGGTCTAGTGGTCCCCTCTGTGATTTAACATCCTAACTATCCCTCATATATTCTATATTCATATATTGAGGACCTGAAATAGGTGATAGTAATATTTCAATATTACTTGAACACATTTTATGCTTACCTATACACACTCAAACATTTTAATGAAATGTAAGAGCAAGATAAAAGTTCTTCAAAAACTTACTTAATATGCACTCATTTATTTATGTGTTTATTGCCAGCACTGGGTCTTGCACTCAGGGCCTCTTGCTCTCACTTGGCTTTTTCACTCAAAGCTGGTACTCTACAAGCAACCTTTTGCTTGATTATTGGGTAAGAAAGAGTCTCTTGGATTTGTCTGCCCAGACACTCTGAACCTCGATCCTCAGATCTCAGCCTCCTGAGTATCTATGACTATAGGCAAAATAGTGAATTTTTAAAGGAGGCCAAGGCTGGAAGAATAACTCAATGGTAGAGTCAATACTTAGTATGCATAAGGCCCTGGGATTGATGGCCCCTGTAAGGAGGGGGAAGGAGACACAAATGCACACAAACAGTAGGACTTCCAAAAAGGTTCAAATATGTAAGTTGTTTTTGTTTGTATTGGGAAAGGGAGTTGGTACTAGGTTTCAGCTAGGCAGGTACTCTCACTGCTTGAACTCCACCTCCAGCCCTTTTCTGTTCCAGTTAATTTGGAAACAGGGTTTTGTCTTTTGCCTTGACTGGCCTGGACCTCAACAGATATATTCCACTAAGCCCAGTTATAGGTTGAAATAAGGTAGCCTTTTTGTATAGGTTGGCTCCAAAACGCAATCCCCATCAGCTTTCAAAACAGTAGGACTTTCTCAAATTTTTATTTCTCATGTGAATGGGAAATCTAGACTCTACTGAAAGTTCAAGTGTATAAATCTTACTAAAATATTAGTCCTCATTTAATTCCTTTAAAGTGAGTTCTAAATAAGGAGTAAGTGGCTTATGCTAACAATCCTAGCTTCTCAGGAGGCTGAGATCTGAGGCTCACAGTTTGAAACCAGCCAGGAAAAGAAAGTCTGTGAGACACTTATCTCCAACTAGCCACCCAAAAGTGGGAAGTGGAGCTGTAGCTTAAGTGGCAGAGTGCCAGCCTTGAGCAGAAAAACTAAGACAGCATCCATACCCTTAGTTCAAGCCTCAGTACTAGCACACACACCTAAGTGAATATTTAAATGAATGCAAATTCCACTGGCAGGTATTTTTTAATAACTAAACTACAAGATGTTCAACTTAGGAGACTACCTTAATATCCTGACACTCTCATAGGCCACTTGTATGAACCTCAAACTTCCGTTGACCTTTAACCACTTAACCAAACAGCACCTCCATTACCCAACTGGAAGAATGCCACTCCAAACTGGAAAAGCAGGGAGTGCAGGAGACAGAAGGCAACCTGCATAACACCCTCTGCTCTATAGGTCAAATCCCATCCAGCTGTGTTCACTTCAAGTGGAGAGTTTCTATGTTGAGAAACATCTGTTAATACCCCCACTCTTGCCTCCTAAAAACAAACACCTCAGAGTTATGATAATCACAAGAAGACAGGTACATACACTGTTCTGAAAGTTGCACTGAAGGCAGACCAGAGACAGAATAGTCAGTGTCCTATGATAAGCAAGAGACTAATTTCAAGGACTATGATTAGCAGAAATCCACCCCTTTTTTTTTTAAACCAGCTACTTGGCCATCTACAAATTAGGGCATTAAAAGTTTTCACACACTGTTGAGCATAGAATGCCTAATAGAAAACAAAAACTTAACGACTCTGTATAAATACAATCCCACACTAAAGAAGAGACAACTTCTGGGCTGGGAATGTGGCTTAGCAGTAGAGTGCTTGTCTAGCATGTATGAAGTCCTGGGTTCCATTCCTCTGTACCACATAAACAAAAAAGCCAGCAGAGGGGCTGGGAAGGTGGCTCAGTGGTAGAGTGCTTGCCTTGCATGCCTGAGGCCCTGGGTTCGATTCTTCAGCACCACATAAGCAAAAATCCGGAAGTGGCGCTGTGGTTCAAGTGGTAGAGCGCTAGCCTTGAGCTGAAGAGCTAAGGGACAGCGCCCAGGCCCAGAGTTCAGGCCCCACGACCGGACCCAAAAAAAAAAAAAAAAAAGCCAGCAGAGGTCCTGTGGCTCAAGTGGTAGAGTGCTAGCCCTGAACAAAAGCAGCTCAGGGACAGTGCCCAGGCCCTGAGTTCAAGCCCCAGGACAGGCAAGAAAAAAGAAAAAAAAAAAGGAGGAGGAGGATGATCCCACAGGGCACTGGCAGGGGGCCTGAAACATGTCTACCTCAGTCCACAATGACTGTGTTTTATTTGAATCTTAACCTGATAATACCTGACTTCTGCATGTACCTACCTGCAGGGTACCTATTGACCAGCAGTACCCTTTGAAGAGCAAGTCACTTCAACTTTATACTGAGATTTTAACAGCTTCGTGCAGGACTACTTAGCACAAATTATTATTCAGTTTGACAAATAGTGGGGGCTTGGATTAAAAACAATTTGTTTTTAATCTGATTCACAACACTGTACCGGTTGAAGACCTTCAGTTTCCGAAGTTAAAGGACTTATCCAAAGTCACAACAAGCAACACGCAGCCACAACAAATTTAAGAACCCTGCGGTTCTAACCCTCGAGTCGGGGCTTTTTTGTCCTTCTTAAGCTTAGCACTGAGGACTTTCATTTACCCCGAGCATCCCATGTACAAATAGCGTAACCTTTTCTTAAGCCTTAAAATACAGCCATGAGATTGCTGAGAGTCCTACGTGCAAGATTAAGCATCTCCCAAGGCACGGCCTCGAGCTTTCCATTCCTAAGCCACTAAGTCCAAGCCTTGGAAAGCAGGAACCTGGCGTGCCCCATCCAGGTGCGGAGATGGTAAACATCCTCCCTCTCACCTGGACTCCAGCGACGCCCCCCGAATCGCGGGCTGAGCTGGGACCCCGTCTTTCCCACAGCTCTCGGGCAACGGGCTGGACACTGGTCTCCCTTCCCAACACCTGGCTCACCTCGGGCCACAGGAGCGGCTAAGATCGCCGCGCCGCGCCTGGGAGGGAGGAGGCCCGCCACCGCCGCGACCCCCCGCCGCGGCCCGGCCGGCTCCGCGGCCCGCCCCACCCGGGACCCCCGTCCTGCCACAGTCCCCGGCCCGGCTCCCCGGGCCTCGTCGCCCAGGACCGCTCCTGTCACGGCCCCCGGCCCGGCTCCCGGTCTCCCCGCCCAAGACCCCTCCTATCACGGTCCCCCGGCCCGGCTCCCCGGCCTTCCCCGCCGGCGTCCCTTCCTGTCAGTCCCCGGCCCGGCTCCCCGGCCCTCCCCGCCCGGACCCCTTCCCGCCACGGCCCTCCCCGCAAATCTCCCAGACCCATTCTCCGGCCCTGCCTGTCCTCACACGCCCTCGCGGCCCCCCGCCGCCCGGGATCCACGGCGCCACCGTGCCGAGGCCCGGCTCACCGCACCCCACACCTACCCCCGCAGCCTCGCCGCCGCGGATCCGGCCCCGGCGCTCGTCCTCCCCGGGGGACCCGCTCGGCTCCCCTCCGCGCCCGGCCGGCCGCCCGCTCCGCCGGGGCGCTCCCAGGGCCGGGGCCGCTGCGCCCGCACTGGGCATGCCCGGGCCGCACGGGGCCGCTGGGAAGTCAGGCGAGCACCCAGCCGGGCCGCCGGCGGAGGCGGGGCCGGATGGAAGGGGGCGGAGCCCGTCGAGGAGGGGAGGGGCCTGAGAGCGAGGGCGGGACCGAGGAGCCTGGGAAATGTAGTTGGCTCTGAGCGAACCGGGGCTGGGGGTTTCGGCTCCCGGCTCCGCCTGATGGCGGCGCTGAACGCATTTCCCGCCTCCTTTCGTGCTTCTAGGTAATCAATTTCTCCTCCGGCTGGTTGCTTTCCTCCCAACTCTCCCCTCCGTCCCCTACCCCGGCACTTACCGCCACAGTGATGCTGGACTTTGTAAAATCGTAATTACGAGGCCTTTAACAGGAAAACAGGAAAATAGGGGTCACCGTGATTATTTGAACTCTTCGTAGTTAACAACTTCTAAGCAATGCTGAGTTTAGGTCGTTTGACTCCGGTCCAATCTGGCTGCACCAGGTGTGAGTTCTGCTGACAATAAAAGGAAGTAGACAATCCTAGCTACTTAGGAGGTTGAGATAGGAGGAGCCAGATTCAAAGCCAGCCCCCAGGCTGCGCCCTACTGAGATCCTTATCTCCAATTAACCTCCCAAAAGCTGGAAGTGGAGGTGTGGCTCAAGTGGTAAAGCCCTGCCCTGAGTAAAGATCACTATTTTCTGCTACACCCTTCTAGTTCAGTTGTTTTGAAGGGAAGCCAATTTCTTGACATGAAACTCTTTTATTCTTTTTTCTTTTTTTTTTTTTTTGGGGGGGGGGGGTCCTGAACTCTGGGCCTGGGCGCTGTCCCTCAGCTCTTCAGCTCAAGGCTAGCGCTCTACCACTTGAGCCACAGCGCCACTTCCGGCTTTTTTTCTTTTTGCTTATGTGGTGCTGAGGAATCGAACCCAGGGCCTCAGGCATGCAAGGCAAGCGCTCTACCACTGAGCCACCTTCCCAGCCCTTGACATGAAACTCTTAAGGAAAGCAAATTTTTACCCCTACTCCGAAATAACAGATTAACATAAGAAAAAAATACAATAGTGTTTGTGGGACAAAGGCCCCCCTGAAGAGATGAAAGGACTGTAGCTTTTCAGTAGAGCATGCCTAACGTGTGTGAAGCCCCCTCCCCCAGCTCCCAAGCATGCAACCCTTAAAAATAGAAAGGAAACAAAAAACAAAACCTAAGTTATTTTGTGGTATATTGAGCAAAAAGAGGCAAGTACCAGTAGGAGGAAGGTGGCTCACTCCTGTAATTCTAGCTACTCAAGAGGCTGAGATCTGAGGATCAACAGTTTTGAAGCCAGCCAGAGCAGGAAAGTCCATTAGACTCTTATCTCCAATTAACCACCAAAAAAGCCAGAAGGAGCTATGGCTCAAAAGTGGTAGATCCACCTGTGGCTCACACCTGTAATCCTAGCTACTCAGGAGGCTGAGATCTGAGGATTGCGGTTCAAAGCCAGCCCCTTCTGGCTTATTGCCAATAAACCACTCAGAAAACCAGAAGTGGTGCTGTGGCTCAAGTGGCAGACAGAGCGTTAGCCTTGAGCTGAAGAGCTGAGGGACAACACTCAGGCCCAGAGTTCAAACCCTACAACCTACAAAAAAAAGAAAAAAAAGTGATAGAGTACTAGCTTTCAGCACAAAAACTCAGGGACAGCACTCAAGCCCTGAGTTCAAGCCCTCAGACCCACACACAGGAAAAAAAGGCAATTATGTCAAAGTGGGGTAGCTAAAGAAAATGACTATTTGCATGTATATAGAAACTGTTTTAAATGTTTGTAGGTATTTGTCAACTTTCTGTTCTTGTTTCTGTTCTAGTGAAAGACAATTCCTTGCTTTCAGGGAGAAAAAGAGAAGGGTAAGGATACTCTTCCAATTTGCTGGTACTAGACCTTGAACTCAGGGCCTAGTCCCTCCTATCCCCAAGTGGTGCTGTACCATTTAAATCTCATACCTTACTTGTGTTTTTTTGTTTTTGTTTTTGTTTCTAGAACCTTGATCTTCAGATCTCAGCATCTTGAGTAGCTAAGATTACAGGTATAAGCCACCAGCCCCTGGTTTCTCTCTGGTTTTATGATTCAATGAATCTGCATTTCTTAACTTCCAGACTAGATTCTTCCAGGGAGAAATTATCATAATTTACTAAACATCTACTGTGTGCCAGGCCTTTCATATTAGTTATTTCACAAACTTTAAAAAATTCCTAGCTGGGAACCAGTGGTTCACACCTATAATCCTAGCTACTCAGGAGGCTGAGATGTGAGGATCGAGGTTCAAAGCCAGCCTGGGCAGGAAAGAGACTCCTATCTCCAATAACCCACCAGAAAACTAGAAGTGGCGCTATAGCTCAAGTGGTAGAGTGCTTGCCTTGAGCTGAAGAGCTGAGGGACAGCGCCCAGGCCCAGAGTTCAAGCCTCCTGACTGACAAAAAAAAAAAAATGCTATAATTGATTTTTGAAATCCATGATAGCCAATATCATGTCTTTTTCTTTGCCATTCCCACCCTCTTTTCTAGATCACCACAGGGCTATCAACACTAAAATAGTACTCCTCTGACTTTAATATGAAAGTGATTCATGTGGAGACCTTGCTCAATAGACATTCTGATTCAGTTGATCTGGGGTAAGGGCCAAGATTCTGTAGTTCTAACAAATTCCCAAAAGATTCCAATAAACATTTGCTAAATGTCCATTATCTATCTTGGCTAGGTGTTTGGAACTCAAGATGGCTTTCAACTACCTTCCTTCCAAAGGGAAGGCAGACCAAGTAAGGAAAGAGACAAAACAAAACCTTGAGTGACAATGAAGTTAGCACAAAGGAGAGAAGAGGGAGTTCTATGCTGAGGAAACAATACAAACAAAAAATACCTAGCAATTTAGAGCAATTTGTTTCGCATAATTGAAACTTGGAATTACGAGAGAACTGGCAAAAGATATACTTCCTATTAACTGCCAGGCCCTGTTCACCAGGCTCTTTTCAACTAATAGGATTTAGTGGTAAGTAGTAAGCAAGACAGACAAGATATCTGCTTGACTGGAGTTCAGCTCCAAGAAGGATGATCAGATAAAGTAAGATAGAATAACTTAAAGTTGGACAAAACAGCCAGCTGCTGGTGGCTCGTGCCTGTACTCCTAGCTACTCAGGAGGCTGAGATCTGAGATTTGATGGTGGTTCAAAGTCCTCAAGACTCTTCAATTAACCACCAGAAAACCAGAAGAAGAAAGAAGAGAGAAGGAGGAGGAGGAGGAAGAGGAAGAGGAGAAGAAGAAGAAGAAGTAGTAGTAGTAGTAGTGGTGGAAGTGGAGCTGTGGCTCAAAGTCCTAGAGCACTAGCCCTGAGTACAAAAACTCATGGACAGCAGAGCTCAAGCCCCACGACTGTGTGTATATAAGTGTGTGTGTGTGAGTGTGAGAGAGAGAGAGACAGAGACAAGACAGAGACACAGAGAGAAATAGAGAGACACAGAGAGACACACACCGAAAGACAGAGAATATAATTTTCAATAGTGAAAAATGTTGAAAAATAAAACATGGCTAACCAAGTGGTTGCTATTGGCTACCAGAAAAGTAGGAAGAGAAAGCATGTTTGAGCAGCTGATTTTGTGTTGAGATCTGAATGAATGTAAAAATCTGGGAATAGAATAGAAGGCAGATATAAGCTTATAAGCCTCCAGACAAAAACTTCCATGGTACATAGCAGGCACAGAAACAAAGACAATGTAGTTTCAAATACCACCCAGTCAAGTTAGGCATCCTCCTTTTCTCCCACATCTAATCAGCAAGTAGTTTTGATCCCATAACCTGAAAAGAAAATAAGAAGCTAGACACTGGTTGCTCACACCTGTAATCCTAGCAACTCAAGAAACTAAAATCTAATCAGAGGGAAACAGATGAAAAAATACAGCGGAGGGGCCCATCAGCAGCCCTGGACCTTGATGCAAGTGAACTAAGCAACTCAAGGGCAGCAATGGGAGGGAGGGAATGAGAGAGAAAGAGGGAACAGCTTACACTAAGCAAAAGGAAAGAAATGTACATATCACCCGATTTGGAAAAAATAGTTGTATTGTCAAAGTTTGTAGAGTTCACAAGCTTTATAGACCATGATAATGACAATAAGCCTTGTGAAGGTTAACATGTGTTTGTGACTTTAGCTAAATATCACTATCCCACAATTCTGTGAAACTTATGTAATCACTTAATCTTGGTTCAAAGTCAGCCCAGGCAAAAAGTTTGAGAGACTTTACCTCCAAATGCTGGACTGGAGACGTGATTTGCAGCCAGATGTGAGCAAGAAAGCTGATAGAGACCTCAAGATCCAAATTTCAAGCCCTGGTAACAGAAAATAAATAAACAAACAAAGCCTGAACCAATGACTCATGCCAGTAATCCTAGCTACTCAGGAGGCTGAGATTTGAGGATCAAGGTCAAAGCCAGCCCAAGCAGGAAAAATCCATGAAACTCTTATCTCCAATAAACCTTTCAGAAAACCGAAAGTGGTGTTGTGGCTCGAGCGGAAGAGCGCTCCCCTTGAGCTAGAGCTGAGGGATAGTGCCTACACCCAGAGTTCAAGCCCCATGACCAACAATAAATAATAAATAAATAAATAAATGTGAAGTTTATCCCATGTGTTTGCCTTTAATTAATTAATTAATTTAGAGACCTGAAACTTCCTATATATTCTAAAGTTCAAGAACCTCCTGCTTCACCCAGTCTCTCAAGGGGTGGGAGCCACCAACTTCGTTCCTACCGTTGCCTTTCTCCTAAATTACTGGAAATCTTCCTGCTCCCAGTAAGACATCTTTAATCCATTTTCTACATAATAGACACCGCTTTAGAAAATGAAAATCTGGTCTTTTTTTTTCTGCCTGAAACCCTTCAGTGGCTCCCATCCCTCTATCAGATATGCCTAAATTCATCCCTATTATATATTCCAATGGCTCTTGAGGATCTTTGCCCATATATCACTTACCATATACCCCTCTGT